CAGTTAGAAACCTCTGCGCGGGGGTTTCTTGCCATGTGCGCAGCCGTGCACGCGCGCACCTTAGAGGGAACAGTGCTGACATCAAACCAGGGGTAAAATTCAGCAGGTTCTGACAGGTTCTGGAGAACCAGTAGTGGAAATTTTGAGAAGTTCAGAGAACCGGCAAATACCACCTCTGGCTGGCCCCAAAGTGGGGAGGGAATGGAGATTTTGCAGTATCCTTCCCCTGCCATGCCCACCAAGCCATGCCAACAGAACTGGTAGTAAAAAAAAAAAATTGAATTTCACCACTGCATCAAACACAACCCTCATGTGGCCCTCAATGAAATCAAGTTTGACACCCCTGATGTATTCCATAATCAGCAATTAGCCACATCCTTGCTATTCCACCTCTCTGTATCAATAATTTAGTTGACTTGATTTGTCTGTTACATCTATGTATGTATATACTGTAGATTATGTGCATGTATATAAGTGTTGCTTTGATTGCTGGAAGACTAGGTTAGCAATGAAGAAATCAACAGATTGACAAACTGATAGGATGATATCCCGATTCATTTCATTTCTGTTTCATAGGCCATTCAGTCTAGCTCCAACTTTGGCATTAGTCTCGAACCATAAGTATCACATCTTGACTGCATGTTCTACATCTAATTTCAGGTTGAACTTGGACACAAAACCTTTCAACCTTATTTTTTGCATCAGTGGTTCAAGCATAAACTTATATTGTCTTATTAAAGGATTGTCTGCAAATCTAATTGCTACTTTCAGCCATTGACTTCATTGGACCCAAGTACTATCCTTTATATATGCTTTGATAACTGAAAGAAAGCAATTTTTTTCTTCTTTGTTTTTGGGTCCTGAGCAGTAAATAGTATGGTCGACTGACCGAAAGTGTCCAATTTCAGTTTATGTCAATTTGGTAATGCCCAAAATGTCAATGTTCATGCATTCCATATCTCACCCTCTTAAGCTTTCCTTTGTTCCTGCTTCTTTGTTTCATGTTCCCACTGTAATTCAATCTTTGTAGTTTTGGATTATTTTTTCCCCCTGCATGATCACAACTAGAGAAACAGACTTAATCTGCTCATGGCATACCATTAGTAGGCCGAAAGATAATATTTCTGAGTAGAATTAATATATCTGGGGGCCCATCATTCAGCACTATCATCATCAATCACTTCATATTTTTATACACATTTTTTTTCTGGTGAAATATAGGGGTGGCTTATCATTGCCTTTTCCAGTGCAGTATGAAATGAACTTTCTCAGTCATTAAAATGATCAAGAATCAGAATTCTACCAGATATGGGATAAATGGTACAGGTGGATGGAGAAAAGAAACAAGAATCAATGAAGGAATATAACAAAACTCAAAAAATAATAGTTATGAGTAAAATAAGAGGGTTACGAATGGTGAAATCCAAATAAAATACAATAGAAGGGGAAATAATATAAGGTGAGCTGTATCCATTGATAATTGCTATTAGAAAAAACAGGAAGCTCCTGTTCGTATTGTATTGTGTAAATGTGTACGTCTAGGTTTTGTGTGTGTGTATTTTACATGTTTGTTAATAAAAAAATATGAAAAATAAAATAAAAATAAAATGATCATCTGCCTTCAACATTTTTCTACATCGCTGCTGTTCAATAAACATCCCTCGCTTGTTTTAGTTGGGCAGCATTTAAACTGATGACTTTTATGGTTTGAATGACCTTTCAGGGATTATATATACTCTTGGCATACACTCAAAGCATTATTTACTCAGCCCTGCAAGAACCACCATCACCATCATGGCTATGGAGATTCAGTCATCCAGGGCATAATTGTCCCAAAAGTCCTTTTTCAATAGACAACTGGACTTTGCTTTTCCTTGGTTTTGCTTCTCATCCAAGATGAGATAATAAAACAACAATAGACACAAACTTAAGGTAAACCGCTCCAAACTTGATTGCAGAAAATGAGACTTCAGCAACAGAATGGTCAATGCCTGGAATGCACTACCTGACTCAAGTGGCTTCTTTCCCAAACCCCCACAACTTTCAACTTAGGCTGTCTACTATCGAGCTCACCCCATTCCCAAGAGGTATTTAAGGGGCGTGAACAAGCGGTCCAACGTGCCTACCATCGTATTCATTTCATGTATTCAAAATAGTGTTTATACTTATTAAGTTATCGAATACATGCTTGATTAAATGAAAAAAAATAAAAAGCAGCTTTTGGATGAGAAGGTTTCAAGGTTTATTACACTTGTATGCTGCCCTATTCCCGGAGGGACTCAGGGCGGCTAACAAACCGAAGGGGAAGGGAATAATACAGACAAAAAGCAAAAAGCAAAAAGCAAAAACAAACAAACAAAATACGGAAACAATTTAAAAGCAGTCAACAGCCACACAATTCGAGTGGGGATGGGAACTCATCAGCCCCAGGCCTGTTGGAACAGCCAGGTTTTGACGGCTTTGCGGAAAGCCTGAAGGGTGGTGAGGGTCCGGATCTCCACGGGGAGCTCGTTCCAGAGGGCCGGAGCAGCCACAGAGAAGGCAAAACCTCATCAAGGAAAAACAAAAGTCCAGCTGCCTCTTTAAAAAACATATTTGGGACACCACCACGAGGCAATGTAAAAACAGGACTCATTAAGTGTCTATCAGTCATACATTATTATGAGAATTCATTGTCGGTTTTTAGTAAAGAATGATTAAATAAAACTTGCGACAGCAAATCACGTCTACTAAAAGTATCGAACCGACGTCCTTGCTGGAAAAAAGCAACCGCCTGTGATCGTACGAGTTAATTTTTTGAAGGCAAAAGGGCTGACTTAGGTTCACTTAAAACGGGGGTTCTCTACGTGCTTACTCGACCTTAAGTGATACCAGATCCGAGCTGCAAAAACCCTTACAATTCCTACATGGCAGCAAAATTTTCTGCTTCGTCCTGGCATCCGGATTTTGGAGTAGGTAGTATACGTAAACGCCATAAGGGAGAGATGGGGAACGATGGCCCTTTTATGACTTGTGGACTTCAACTCCCAGGATTCCTAAGCCAGCCAGAATTCTGGGAGTTGAAGTCCACAAGGGCCATCGTTCCCCACTCCTGCCATAAAGGCATCAATACCCGTCTTGGCTCCGGCTGCAGCGGAATATCGTCAGTTCGAAGAGGCGGGACGTCTCGCGCTCTACCAATCCCTTCTCCTCGTGCGCGCGCTCGACTCGCTTAGAAAAAAACTGCCTCCTGTTTCTACTCGGTTCCCCGTATTTCTTCTTTGTTTTTACGGCACTGTCGTGAAGAAGAAAAAAAGAAGAGATTTGCCTAGAGCGGCATAACAGAAGCTCCTGCTTGACGGCCGGCGAGAAGAAACGGGGAGGGGAGGGTTTGAGAAACCGTTTCGTTGTCGCCGGGGGGACCTTCACCATGAGGCAGAAAAAGAAAGGTAGAAAGGGGACGGGACAGAAGGGAGATTGGTATGAAGCCTCCTAAAATAGATGCTCTCCAGAGGCCTTGGATCGGGTGTGGGGCCGCGCTATTGGGGTATTCTGGGAAATGTAGTCCCACTATAGCTGGAACGCCTCAAGATAGGACAGTCTCATGTGCACCGATAGGAAGTTGCGACTGAGATAACTTTTAAATACGATTGGCATCGTTAGCTCAAAAAGGAGTAACTTCATCGTGAAAATGCTTGTTGAGTGTTCAGAGACTTAAGGGGTTCCCTCTGTTCAGCGTAGGAATCCAGGTTAAAGCATCCCAAGGAGAGAACGGTCTTGTTTTCCACCCAAACACATCCACTGAAGGGGAAACCACCACACTCAATCACAGCCTGCCCTCCCGTAATTTAAATCTATGATCCCATATCCTGCTCTCTGGGGCAGGATTCTAGAGAATCTGCTGGGTCCCTTTCAGGTGTTTAACAATGCTAATATATCCTGTTAAGATCGAGGTTTCTTTACTCAAGACTTATTCTCAATTCCTTCGGTCTCTCTTCATAATCTCTCTCTGTGTGTGTCCCTTTCAAGTCAGTGCTGATTTCTGATCTGGACAAGTTCCTGCAGTTTTTGTAGGCCAGGGTTTTCAGTAGTTTGCCATTCCCTGCTCCTTAGGGCTGAGAGAGAGTGACTGGCTCAATGCACTCAGCTGACTTTGTGCCTAAGGTAGAGTTAGAGTAGAATAGAATTCTTTATCGGCCAAGTGTGATTGGACACACAAGGAATTTGTCTTTGGTGCATATGCCCTCAGTGTACATAAAGAAAAATAAAATAGAATATATTTGTCAAGAATCATAAGATACAACACTTAAGTGATAGTCACTGGTTACTAATAAGCAATCGAATTATACTAGGAAACAAATAAAACAATATAAATTTTAAAGATACAAGCAACATGGTAATAATCATAAGTGGAAAGAGATAGGTACTAGGAAGGAAAAGAAGAATAATAGAAATACAGTCTTAGTAGATAATTTGACAGTGTTGTGTGGATTTGTTGTTTAGCAGAGTAATGGCATGGGGGGGGGAACTGTCTTTGTCTCTACTTGTTCTGATGTGCAGTGCCTTATAGCTTCATTTTGAGGGTAGAAGTTGAAACAATTTACATCCAGGATGTGAGGGGTCAGTAGATATTTTCACAGCTATTCACAGATATTTTGACTTGTGCAGTATACAAGCCCTCAATGGAAGGCAGGTTGGTAGTAATTGTTTTTTCTGCAGTTCTAATTATTTGTTGAAGTCTGTGTCTGTCTTCTTTGGCTGCAGAGCCAAATCAAATTAGAACTCATAGTCTCCCGATTTCTGCCTACTGCCCTAACCATTATGCTAAACTGACTGTTTTACTTGATTTCTAATCTTCTGATCATCCTTGCTGCTTTTCTCTAATTCGTTCCACTTTGCCTTAATCCATACTATGTGGTGTCCCAAACCCAGTCTGGTACATCTCACCAAAGCAAAATGGAGTGGCTACTTTCTGTCATTTGGAAATTATACTTCTGTTATGTTGATGCTGCCTAAAATTGCATTTATATTCTTTTTGCAACCCAATTACATTGTTAATTTAGTTTATAATCTATTCCTTGGCCTGGTAGCACCAATATTACCTTTGCTCTCTGTGCATTTGATTTTTCCCCCTTAGGGAAGAACTTGCCTCTGTTAAACTTAATTCTGTGACTTTTGGTCCACTTCTCTAAAATACAAGGCTTTTTTCAATTTCCTTTTGGTCTTCTAGGTGTTATTCCATCTCAGATTTCAGATGCATTTCCTGCATCTTCTCCCCCAAAGCATTACTGAAAGGATTGAAAAGTATAGGGTCAAAGTTTGAACCCCATGGTATCCACTCAATATGTCAGTTCAGTTTGATAAAACATTAATAAATGCTTTTTGAGTATGATTTTCCAGTAAGCTAGGTGTTTACTTAATTGCCATATCCTCCAGTCCATGACTATTCTATGTGAATAATTGTTCCTTAGAAAAGAATAAACTTTTGTAAAAAATATATAGTTCTTCCAAGAACTCTTTATTACCTTCCTTCTTGGAGTCTTCAAACATCCTTGAGGAAAGTTAACTAAGGGACACGTAATAGTTTTCACTTCATCCTCTGCAGTATGTACTACAGTTATCTTGCCTCTTACCTGAAGGCAGCATTTTCTCAACCCTCACACATCATCTACTGCAGAGCAATACAGATGCCACATTGATTAGTACTAAAGGCACTTGTGTTCTGTGACTCAGGTGAATAGGCTTTAGGCTTTGAGAGAAGATAAAGGCTATTCTGTCAGAGAGAGCACAAGTCACTTTACATTTGTATGTGAGAAATCACTTTTGCCCAGACTCTTTCATAACCTTTTATTTCTATTTTAGGAGATCTCAGCCGAGCAGAACTCATGATGATGACTATAGCTGATGTCATCAAACAACTCATTGATGCCCATGACGAGGGCAAAGATGTGAATTTAAACAAGTGAGTTGTCTTTTATTTCTTCTTTGCTCTTCAACATTTTATTGTTTCTGTCTTCCCCACTTTTTATGGGAAAGCCAATGTCCTATAAAAGGTTTGTATCTGAAGTTATAAAGAACTTAAATATAGCAAACACTAGGTTGGAGAGATCCTGGTTGAATGCTAGTGTGTCAGATTTTAGTGAATAGCAAAATATAATTGGAGATAGGCTGTTCTATGCCATGAGTAGCTCTTTAGGTGACCATCAACACCTTCAGTTGCACCCAAAAACCCACTGACAACCAAAGCAGCTTATGGAGTACCGGTTATTTAGGCATATAATGAGGTATGCACATCTGTATTTGTGCCACTGTATTCTAGACTATAGCTTCTGAGTTAACCTCACAAAGCAATACCACCCCATCCAGAATCAAGAATAGACTTTCAGATCTAGACAGTCCCGAAATTCTTAGTCACTCAGTCTTTCTAAGTTGAGCTTAAGTCTGTTCCTTTCCATCCAGAACCTAAGATGCTGAGATAGAAGCTGAGATAATTTGGCCAGCCCAATGATTAAATAAGTGCAATAACTGATATCTAACTCTTTGCCGACAGCCTCACCCAGTGGCTTTATATAGATATTGAATAGGATCGGAGAGAGAATAAAATCATAAGACATCATCCAAAGGCAAGGTTATAGGGCTGGAGCTCTTCCCTCCTTTTTTGTACCCATTGTAGTATACTCCAATGTAATTGTGTTGAAGAAAGACATATATAATAAAAACAACCTGACGCTTTTTGGTTATTATTGACCATAGCATTAACAATTTCTTGCCAAGGCAAGTTTAAATATTGATGTAAGCTGATATGAGTTGAAATCCAAATCATCTGGAGAGCATCAGGTTGCCTCTCCCTATTATATAGCCTCTAAGTAGCATGGCTTTCAATTTTAGGATTAAAACAAGGACGGCTGCCAAGTATGGCCTTTCAGCACAGCCACGCCTGGTTGACATCATTGCTGCTGTTCCCCCTCAGTACCGCAAAGTGCTGGTTCCTAAGCTGAAAGCAAAACCCATCCGAACTGCTAGTGGGGTAAGTTTTTCTTTGTTTATTTTTCATGCACAAGGTCCCAGAGTCAATGATTGGGGGGTGGGGGGGCAAGGCCAGGGTGAGCATGGCCAGCTCAATGTCCCTCGTGTCGGGCACCTGTGGTGGACCAAGTGCTCTGCCAGTGAAAACGGGCTCCAGAGCTCTGTTTCGGCTGTGACAGCCTCTTGCAACCCTCTGCCAGCAAAAATGGAGCAGTAGAGGGCTGCATGCAGCCTTCCCAAGCTCTGTTTTTATTGGCAGAGGCACTGTCGGCCGGTCCTTCACTTTTTCCAGGGTGGCTCTGTGGGCCAGATTTAAGTATCCCATGGGCCAAATTCGGCCCCTGGGTCTTGGGTTTGACACCTCTGGTCTAAGGTGATAGCTACGCTTTGAAAAACAATGCTTGTAAAATTGTAGTTACAACTTCCTTTGGTGATTTTCAGGAAAAAATTTTTTTTCCATTCAAGGTTTTTTATTTTTTAATACAAATTATANAATTTTTTTTCCATTCAAGGTTTTTTATTTTTTAATACAAATTATACATATCATAGGAACAAAGAGTTATCCAAATCTTTTCTTTTACATCCTCTCATTTACATAGTCCTTTTTACATCATAGTTTTGTTTTCCCTTTCTGCCAAATTATTCTCTTCTATTATTTTTCATCTTTATGATTATTTTTTCTTAATACATAAACCATTGCCCCTTCAAAGTTACACCAAATTTTCCTTTCTTATTTTCTCCATTGGTATATCTTGCTATAAACAGCATACATTGTCTAATTCAATTTAAGCAGAGAGCATTTCTTTCAATTTTTTTCTACAATTAACAATGTACTATCATTTCTTTATTTCCTAATTAGTTACCTCATAATAACAATCTTACTACTATTCTCTTTAGTCTACTAATATAACTCTTTTTCCTTTTCTTCCTCTTTTAACCGTTTTCTCTCGTGCTCTCAAAAATTCCAGTTTTAATTCTCCTCCTCTTCTCCCCCTTTTCCCTAACTTCTTTTTCTTTTTCCTATTTTTGTGATTGTTGTATCTTTTCTTCAGAGTATTTACTTTTATTATTTTAGTAACTTTCCCAGGGGTTTTCCCTGTTCTCCTCCTTTCCTTGCTATTTTGTGGTTTCTTTTTTGGGAGAACTCCTTTCTCTGCCTTTTCTTTGTGGCAGGAAAAGTTAACAAAGTGATCAGGTTCAGGAAGTTCTGAGCAGAACAGTTGTTTTAACCCTTCCTTCCTTGTGGATTGATGTATTTGGGGTATACAAAAAGACCAGATATTAAATAACTTCTCTGCAATACTCCTTTCTTTCAGATTGCTGTTGTGGCAGTAATGTGCAAACCACACAGATGTCCACATATTAATTTCACAGGAAATATATGTGTGTGAGTATGCCTAATAACATGTCAGAATATCTTAAATACCTAGCCAAAACATATGGAATGCATTAAAATATTCAGCTTCATCTAAAAATAAATTCCTAATAATTGTAAACATATTTTACCATAATAGAGAGGCTATTCTCTTTCTTTAGACTCATATAAAATGAGGCTTGCATACATATGTTATTTTTCTATGATTATAGTACCTGTTCTTTATGATATACCGGTAGGTGCAAGACTTTTTTCAGGTGAATGGCTGAACGTGGCATTTGATAGTGTAATAAGAGTATTCTAAAAAGAAGATGTAACCTAAATGTAACATTATTTTAATGTCAATTTATAAACTTGAAGGGACTCCAGCCATCTTTTAGGAAATAAAAATACTGAGCAACTGCAATTTAGTGCTTTTTTTGGTAAATGTGCTCAGGTGATGAATTTTTGCAGGAAGTTTAAAAAAAAAGTAATATGGGCCTAGGATTTCAACCATGATTTGTGGAGTAGGGAGCAATTTAGACATAGATTTTGCTTGCACGTGTTATTAAACAATGGCTTTTCTAATAATTAACTAACTAACTATGGTTATAATTACAATGGTTGTTGCAAATAACACACTGAACCAGTGCCAAAGAAACTACATTATGCTGTAGCATAATACAGCCATGGATTTTCCTAGCAACACTCATTATTAACTTTGCCTTTCAGAAAACAACATTGGGACTGGTTTTCCTAGTACCTCTGAGGTCCCATTCCACTCTTTGACCTGGAAGGTCTCTGGTTCATGTTCTTTCTTCTGTCTTGGAATTGATCAGTACCCTAAACTGAATTCCTTTTCTGGCACTGCATCTTAGGGGCTGGATCTATTTAGGCTAATAGCCTGCTTCCTACAGGGGTCACTTTGAAAGTTCATTGGAACAGTTCTTTTGCCTTCAAGCATCTGCTACTCATTTCAATATACACAGTTTATGGGTTGTCAACCCATGCTTTTAATTATATACTTAATCTCTAGCTATGATTTCATATTTTTCCTTGAAAATGCAGATACTGTCCTGGAGGGCCTGATTCAGACTTTGAATATTCAACACAATCTTACACTGGATATGAGGTACTGCTCTCATGGACCTGTTGATCCTATTATTTTTGTGTGTGTGGGGGGGGGATGTACTATAAACCAAAATATCAGAAATTTTAGGGGAGGACCAGTTTATTTTACATTCATAGAATAGTGAGGGCTTCGGATTTTTTTTTCTTTCTTTCAATATTTCACAACTGGACCTCTATCTGGTAATTATTAGTCTCAAGTGTGAGATGGTCATGCTTGAGACCATCTCAATATTTTAGAAATTAAGTTAGAAATGAAGAGATGGTTGTGGGTACAGGTAAGTATACTTTCTACATTGTTGTACTGACACTGTTAATCATATAACAGCTTCCCCAACCCAATGCTCTCCTGGAGTATGTTGGATTTCAGCTCCCCTAATTCTCATCCAGAATGGACAATGCATATGGAGGACCTAAGTTAAAGATACAAGTTAAATATATTACATTTGTGAAGTAATATATTAAGACTTTTCCAAACTGTGTCTCCACAAGTGCTCTATTACATCTCTCCTTGTTTTCAAATAACATAGTCACTAAGAGTGGCCTCTGTTTTTAAAAAGACACTTAGCTTTTTATTAAATTGATAGCTGATTCAATCTGGTCATTTGCTAAAGTCAGATATATGAACCAGAAACAACTTTTAAGAAATTATGTTATATTGAGTTAGATACCTTTTCCCCTAACTCCTTAATCTATTCATCTAGCATATCCCCCCCCCCACCCCCTGTATTTTGGATTGCTTTGAAATTGGATTGGAGATTCTATAAAATTATTTTATAATCACTCCATTAGTTGGAGATTTATTTATGAAATCCCATTTGGACAGCATCTGTGAAATTGATTTGCATATATCAAAATTAATTCAGCTCTTAGAGTTGTTAAGATCAAATCAGATACATACAACACATATGATTCTCCAGAGCCAAGGATGAGGTTTCCCGAGCTTTTCTGGACATTGCTACTTAAATGTCAAATTCAATATGCTAGAATGAATTATTAAACAGAAGAATGGTCATCTTGTTTGCAGCATGTCATTTATATATACATTACATAAATTTTAGTTTACATACTGAACCCGGTTAACTTTTTTTAATATGTTAAGCACCATTTTTGAGCAAGACTGAGTAATCCTCAGTCCAATAAAAGCTATATACTCCTGATCTAGCAAAAATAAAATTTGACAGTACAGTTAGGAATTTGGATTTGATGCATTCTTTGCCATTAATTCAGTTAATTCATTAATTCTTAACAAACACATAAATTTTCTCAATCTGTCCATAACCTAAGAGTTCAAGTCTTCACGGAGTACCATTCGCCACTGTGACTGAGTCCATCCAACTTGCTAATGGTGGTTCTCTTCTTTTTCCTTCCACCTGTCCCAGCGTTAGAATTTTCTACATACAGCTAAGTCCTTACATAATTGGTCTGAAGTACTATAAGATAATTTAAGCTTGATCATTTGTCCCTGGAGTGAGAGGAGTTTGAATTATAGACTCTTTAAAACAACCTTGCTAGTTGTTTCCTAAGGAATTTTGTTTTGATTTCTTTTAGCCAACATCTATGAGAGCCATACGTGCCAGATATGATCCTTATCTCCAGACCAGACACCGAGTTGAACAAGTAAGGATTTGTTATGGTGGAAGAATGTGATGATGGTGGGATAAAAATGAAGCAATTTAGTTCTTTGTAGCTAAATGCGAAGCTTAGGCTACAACTATGTCCATGATTTTATTGCGTTCATGGAGATTAACCAATTGGCAAAAGATTTTTTCACATAGGGAAAGCATCAGTAAAAATGAAAACTGAACCAAAAGGAAACTATGCGGAATGCCAAATGGTTAAGTAAGGCAAAGCTGGATCTGAAGTTTTGCGCCCAAAGCATCTAGGAAACTGTTCCCTTCTCCCCACCTTTCCCCTAATTATCTTTAACTATCCAATTACATTCAAACAAATTGTTTTGCAACAGTCCCTGGCTTGGCAGGTTGGATGGCATCACATTCCATTGCATGAACTTGGAACTGCCAGCAGTTCTCATGTGGCACAAACGGTAGATTCAATTCCCCTTTATCCCAGCCACCCTTCTACCTCCCCTCAGGCTCCCTATCCCAATTTCCTATGGCAGACTGGCATTTGGCAAAGCGTGGATGTAGCTGGATGGGAGTCCTGATAATTACTCTTAACTACTGCAGCAAATCATTTGTCTAAAGATCAGGGCTAGATTAAAAACTTTTCACCAAACTCTGAACCTTTTTCATTGAGAAGATTATAATTGCTTCAAGAGGGAAATAGATCCCACTAATATGACTTATATTGCTTGGACTTCATAAGTCAACATCAACTTCTTGAATGGTGATCTGCAGAGCTCTTATGCTAGATGTTAAGCATTCTCCACCATGGTATTTCATTCAAAAAGTTGTCTTACACTGAGTTACACCACTTATAGCCAAAGGTTATTTATATCACCTGCCAACAACTCTCTTACAGGTTGAGAAAGTAGTCTTCCTCTACAACAGGGGTGTCAAACTCGTGGTGCCCAGGTCAGATGCATCATGCACTGGCCACACCCATGCCAGGTTTAGCGAAGGGGGAAAAAGTAATGATATGTCATGTGACAATGCGAGTTTGACACCCCTGCTCTACAAGTTTCCAAATACTATTCAAAATAAATAAATGAATACATATAATATTTTATTAAAATGTTGGTGTGAGGAAAGCAAGAGTACTCTAAATATTCCACCCTATCCCTCCATCCTCCTGGAATATCCTACATCTGTAACATGAATGGCCAGAGATTAAGGAGAGGCATAACATAGGCATTAATAGGACTCCAAGGAAGAGAATTCCAAACTTGATGGGCTATTAAGAGAGAAGGCTTGTGAGTGAGATGGATAGCTCAATATAAGTTTGTTGCTTGAAGTTGAAGGACACTCTAAAATAAATCTGCTAATACTATAATGCTTGTTTTATAAAAAGCTGTGAAGTAACATCACTTAAAATATTTTACAGTGTTTTGATAACCAGACGTAAAAATATGTAGTTTTTGGCATGGTTCAAAAGACTGATCTTGTTTTTACAGCTGAAACAGCTGGGTCACAGCATCGACAAAGTGGAATTCATTGTGATGGGTGGAACATTCATGGCTCTTCCAGAAGAATACAGAGATTACTTTATCCGTAATTTGCATGATGCCTTATCAGGTCATACGTCTAACAATGTAGCAGAAGCAGTCAAGTAAGTATCTTGTGCAGCAGATACTTTGGTGCATCAATTAATTTACTATGTTAATTTGTTTATTGTACCTGACAGTTGCATCATATGGGTGTTCACAGTGAAAATTCCCCTGGTGTCTTTAAACATTCCTGGCGAGGTTTAAAATATTTTGAAAAAAATATTGTAAAAATCATTAAGACCAACAGTGATAACTATGGAAGCTGCTGTACTGTTAGCTAAAAAAAAAGGATCAAGAGCTTCTACGAAAGTCTGTTCCTGCTGACTAATTCGGTTTCCTTGTCTGCACCGTTGCTTATTCAAGAGGGAGGATGAGAATCAAGGCAAAAGTTTGGGGAAATGAGATGTTTTATGGATTATCAGCAGATAAAAATTGCCAAATAATTAGGTAAGGATAGCATCTACCCAAGAAATCTTAGGTATGTGTCCTTTATGATAGTATAGCAAAAATGTGTATCTCGCTACCAGCATTGGCCTCAATAGTTAAAAAGTAACCAATGTATTGCTCATTTTAAAATAAGACCAAAGGGAAAATGAATTAATTGAAGGCCATCTTGAGTGATTTTTATTTTGGGTAAATTGGTAGACAGCAGCATTAACTTTAGTAACTATTATAATATCTGTTGAAGATGGACCAATATATGTTTTATAGAGGTAAAGCAAACTAGTTGTCTAGAACTGCTTTTGATTATGTCCTTCACCAAGCACTTCTAAATAAATATATCTGTGGGTAACTTCATGGAATAATAATAAACAGCAAAGTATGGACTAAATATATAAAATTTATTAATTTCTATAGCTGAGGCACTTTTTTAAAAAAAAGACAGTTGGGTTTTTAAGGAGTTTGTAAGTGATTTGGAGTTGATGGTGAGTAGTGGTGCAGTCTAGCTGGTTAATATTAGCTAATTACAATGCAAAACATTAAGAAATTCCAAAAAATCCCTAGAAAGTCTAAGCATTCCAATCTTTCATATAATTTGGAGGTGACATACATAAGACATCCCTCCTTTTATCCTTCATCAAATAAGAGATTCATGGATATTAGTGAGATTCACAAGATAAGATGAATTTAGCTCTCTGCCTTTGAAATCAAAATAAATATTGTTGTATCCTAAAACCCATAAACTTTTGTGAAACACGACTGTAAAACCATGTGAAGTACATACAATGTTCATTCTAGAATCTTAAACATTTCTTTCCTCCGGAGGGCAGCAGATACTTAAAATAGTTTATTAGAAAAAAAATTCCACTTGATTTTCCAGAGTTGCTCTTCAGGTGTGACTTGACAATCATAAATTAAATAGAAAAAGTATTACATGGGAAGGAATCCATAACTTTAGCTGTTTCTCAGACTATTGAGCTGGCATGCTGCCAATGGGGGTCTGATGTTCATTAATCTTTCTTGAAGACACTTGCTTGAAAAACTCAAATTGAAAATTTACTTGTACATGTATTCAGACAGCTATATAAAGAAGAGCTATAGATGTGTGGTGCACCTATGTTTCCACGATCAACTCTGTCATGTCCAGTATGAGTCTGAAGGTCAACAAAGTCACTGCTTATTAATATAGTCTAGGTTTCTCCAGTATAGTGCCTCTGGGTTTGTTGGGTCACATCTTCCATAATCCCTATACAATCTAGGTTGGCATAATAATGTATGAAAACAATACCTCAATCAAGGAACTACTAACTCAGGCAAACAAGTTAACACAACAGCAACCCAAACAAGGAACCACCAAGACCACTCCCACCAATACTGACAGGGCAAACCACTAGTATATAAAATGAGAACAAACCCCACTCCCTTTTAACACTGATGATGTTACCTAGTTTGGTAACAAAATGTCTGTAAGAAAACAACCAAGCTCAGAGAGCACCAAGGACCTCACATTTCAACCCTGAGTGGCAAATATTCTCTTCTATTGATAATAGTAAGCTAGCTAGAATAATCTGTTTCCTACATAGTGTTCCTGCATTTCAATAATCAAATGATTGTTCTATGTTATTTTACATTATTTTGTGGTTGCTTTTCTTTTCTTTTAAAATCCATACTCTTTTGTAGAGGTGTGTGCATAGGTACACGTAAGAAAATCATTAGTCAGAAACATAGCTGTCAGTTTACTGCTGAAATTCCAATGGAGGAAAGGTAGACAGCAGGTAATGATGAAAATAGATGAATATTTTAATCATGATTGACCTATCCTCTTCTCCTGTGTGCTGCTTGGGGAATCCAAGCATGGGTTAACTTTGTCCATTAGCCTTGAGACTGAATTAAGTAAATTGGTGACCACGCCTCCACTGGCCGGATGGGCTCAGTTTTCTTAACTCAGTCCAGCCGACGAGACATATATCAATTCTTCTCCAGACTTCTGGGACAACTTTATACTCTTTTTCTGGATTTCCTTACAAGCACGATGGACTTAGTTGGTGGAAAAGATTTGCAATGGGGAGGCGACAGTTCGCTGTCTGCCAGTTCCCTCTATGGCCCCTTTTACTGCTCAGGTATTTCTCTACCGTTTGGAGCCATTTGGAGCTTGAGTTTTCCCCGCAGGCGTTTAGAGCCTTTGCAGATGGCTGGGCGGCAAGGGCTTTGTTCCTGCCGGCAGGGGGTTTTCTTCCACAGCGCGGAGCTTCGGCTGGCGCTAACGACGAGATTAAGAGCCCCCGCTGCATTAAGAGCCTCGGAGCCTTTGAATTGCCTGCCGTTCACGGCGTGGCTTCTCTCCTCTTGCCACTGGGAGTTACCCGCCATTCGCGGCGAGGTTTGCCTTTGCGGAAAGCCGATCGCATTAGGGCTGCGCGCCAGCGATTCCGGCATTATTTTCCCCCTGAGAGCCTAAAGTGACTGTGCTTGTGGCTTACGATTTGAATTTTGGCGCTCGTTTGTTCGGCGCCATGCTGG